TAAAAATATTTTTTAAATATTTTTTAAAAATTTTTAAATATTCACTTAGAAATCTTTTTAAAATACTTCAAATTTTTCATTCAGAAATAACAAATCCATTACAAGTGTAGGTCAATAACATAATTTTATGAAAAATAACTATATTTTCCACAAGAACAAATTTAATTAGAAGAATGGCACCATTTTACATGTTTGCAAATCTCTGTAATGTCTGGCTTAACAGAAGACAGCTGGATTCTCCTATCTGGTTTGGCATCCAATCTGTTGCAATATCACACATCATGTAGCTTTTCAAAAACTCCAATATATACTTGTGAAAAAATGAGAATGAAAATAGCAAATACTGCCTTAGATTTATTATAAAAATAGTTTTGACTTCCCAGACCCCTGAAAGGGTCCTTCCTATGAGGTGAAGGTGAAAATTAAGTTACTTAGTCAGAGAGCCAGGAGTGGAGCCCAGGGGGGTCTGATTCTGGACCCCAGGGTTGCCCCTCGGAGCCAGGAGGAGAGCAGCAGGGAACCCTTTCATGATGTTTTATGTAGTGGTACAGTTTCAAATTCAATCTTTCAATTCGTGCAAAGCAGAGGTTGGGAGAAGGGAGAGTAACAGCCACAAAATTCATCTGTAAAGGGGCCCAGGTCTGTCCTACAAGGAAAATGGCATCTTACCTACAGGGTAGGGGAGACACAGCCAAATGTGCTGGAAGCCCCTCTAGGAACAGCTCTCTCCTGCCCAAACCAAGCCATTATCTATGTCTCACTCCATCCAATGCTTCTCTACACCACTTGAATTCTGCCTTCAATTCTTTTTTTTTTTTTCAGTTTTCTTGAGAAAAAAATCAACATATATCGATTGCTGTGTAAGTTTTTTTTTTTTTTTAAAGATTTTATTTATTTGAGAGAGAGAATGAGATAGAGAGCATGAGAGGGGGGAGGGTCAGAGAGAGAAACAGACTCCCTGCTGAGCAGGGAGCCCGACGTGGGACTCGATCCCGGGACTCCAGGATCATGACCTGAGCCGAAGGCAGTCGCCCAACCAACTGAGCCACCCAGGCGCCCCGTTTGCTGTGTAAGTTTAAGGCATACAGCATGATGGTCTGATTTATGTAGGTTGGGACATGATGACCACAAGAGGTTCAACTAACATTCATCTTCTTATACAGACACAATTAAAAAATAAATAAGAAAAAAAAAGGGTCTCCTTGTGATGAGAACTCTTACGATTTACTTTCCTTGCAGTTTCCCTATAAACCATACAGCAGCGTTAGGTGTACTCACCCTGTTGTACATTACATCCCTAGTACTCACCTTGTAACTAGACGTTTGCACCTTTTAACCAGCTCCCTCCAATTCCCCCTCCCCATCCTCCATGGCCAGTAACCACAAGTCTGATCTCTTCTGAGTTTTTTAGATTGTTCGTATTTAGATTCCACATATATGTGAAATCATAGGGTGTTTGTCTTTCTCTGACTTACTTCACTTAGCATATCCCCCAGGATTCAACCATGTTGTCACAAACGGCAGGATTTCCTCATTTTTATGGCTGAATAATATATATATATGTGTATGTGTGTATACACAACTTCCTTATCCATTCATCTGTCAATGAACAATTGGGTTGTTTCTATGTCTTTTTTTTTTCAATTAAATGTTTTTCAATTAATTAAAATGTTTAAAAAGAAGAGTAATAAAGAGCCTAGCTCTATCAGATATTAAAGCACATTTTAAATTTACAGCAATTAGGGGTGCCTGGGTGGCTCAGATGGTTAAGCGTCTGCCTTTGGCTCAGGTCATGATCCCAGGATCCTGGGATCAAGTCCCGCGTCGGGCTCCCTGCTCAGCGGGGAGCCTGCTTCTCCCTCTGCCTCTCTCTCTCTCTGTCTCTTACAAATAAATAAATAAAATCTTAAAAAAAAAATTTACAGCAATTAGGGGCACCTGGGTAGCTCAGTCGGTTGAGTGTCTGCCTTCAGCTCAGGTCATGATCTCAAGGTCCTGGGATCGAACCCCACATCGGGCTCCCTGCTCAGGGAGGGCATCTGCTTCTCCCTCTCCCTCTCCCTCTCCCTGCTGCTCCCCCTGCTTGTGCTCTCTCTCTCTCTCAAAGAAATAAATAAAATCTTTAAAAAAATAAATTTACAGCAATTAGTATTGGGTTGACCTAGCAGAAGACTGAAAGGTAAAGCAATAGATCAGAATACATAGCCCAAATTAGATTCAACTATAGAAAAGGCAATATATTATAAAGTAGGTGTAATAATTCATGATGTAAATAAAATAAACTGTTTAGCAATTTGGAGGGGAAAAAAGTCTATATTTAGACCTTCACTTTTAATCACATGCCAAAATAAATTCTAGCTAGATTAACTGTTTTTACAATAAAGAGTGGGCAGAGGCTGGGAAAGGCAGGACCAGATCTCATTCATCACTGTGCTCCCAGGGGCTCGTCCGGGGCTGCTGGGCAGCTGCCCAAACACAGGGAACTACCTTGAGCTCCGACTCTGCTGCTAGCCCCTTGTGCCCTCTTGGGCAAGTCACTTTGCTTCTCCGTCCCATAAAGTGGGCACAGTAATGACCCCAGCTGCACAAGAACACCCATTATGAGCTTCAGAGTACTATACAAATTAACAAAAGGAATGAAGACTAGGAAGCTACATCCATCCCTGTTGCTATGATTCGAATATGCGTAACATTAATATTTTAGTGAGAAAAATAATGCCAATTTTCTTTGTAATCTACTTAATAAAGTAGACAATTTAGGTTGTAAAAATATACACTTTCCCTTGGGGCCTCACGAAAATTTTTAAATTTTGAATGGGAAAAAGATGCATCCCATAAGCATGTCTATTTTTCCTGAATTAGCACTTTTACCCAAAAAAGACCTGGCATCAGTGCTCTAAGAGAGCTGGGAGGTTTTCTTTTCACTGCTTCTTTCATGCGGCCCAAAGGCAGGAGACAGGTCCAGGAGGTCCACGAAGGGTGAGGAGGGGAGGGGGAAGGGGGTAGCGGGGCACGGCAGAAGATTTAGAATTTTAAAACCCTGAAATGACCTTGAGCAAGCTATTTACCTTTTCTTTGTTTCCAGAAACTGGAGATGCCAACTCTTACCACACAATTAAAAGACTAAGATGAGGTCATACACATGAGCGCCCTGCACCCAATTACAGGTCTTTTGTCGGCCAGCAAGCCTTGAGTAAATGCTGGCTTCTCTTCTCTGCTGCCCTTCTCTCTCATAAAGCTCTCCTGGCCCTCCTCCCGCTTTCCCTGGCCTCTCTCACAGTCCCTCTCTCCCCTGCCCCCAGGAGAGCCCTGCAGCTTCAGTGAGGGGTCTGAGGCAAAGGCCATCCAGGGATTTGGTCACGCATGTCAAATGCTCCCCACCCCATCCCAAACCCTATCACGGTCACCACCGCCCCACCCGGTCATTTTCCTCCTAGGATACTTGCACTCCATGGTCGCTCAGGCAGCCCGCACCAGTGCCTGAGCACCTGGAGCCCGGCACGTAACCCGCACACTTCCTTGGCAATAGCTGAGCCAGGGCTCACAAAGGGCCAACTACAGTGATGGTTCTGGAATGTAATTCTCAACCTCATCCCCTGCTGTAAGGCGCATAAACACAGATGAGGTATAAAACTGAGATTTATAAGGTGCTACTATAAAGTAATCAACTGGACTGCACCTCTCGGTCTCCTCTCCTGCAATCATACCTTGTGCCTCCAGGTGTAAGAACCTAAACAATACGTATAGTAACAATATGTCGCAAATAAAAGAAAACTGTACACTGTTCCTCCAGTTGAAAGCACTGAGGCTCCTGACCAGTCCTGGAAGTGATGGCAGCCACGTATAAGCCTCAAACTGTTCCTCTCCAGTTCTACTTCTGTTCTTCCCACAGCCCTGCTGGCCTCTGTGTACTAGGCTCTGAGTTTTGAGACTGTGATCCCACCAAATGTTCCTCATTCAGCTCGCCGCTCTTCTGGAAGAACGGTTTCATGACCGCTCCGTGATGTATGTGGCATGGATCCTACAACTTCTGTTCTTCTCCTGGATAGTTTCCCTCTGCCTTTTTTTTTCTTTCTGGTCTCGAACTATTCCATCCCCTTTACTCCATTCCTGATCTACCAGTATTCATGTCTCTCATCCTTTATGTTCTTTTGTTTGGGTTCTTTCTGTTATTTTACTTGGGGAGTGCATCATCATTTAAGCATAATTAATCTTTCTAATTCATGGCTTGATAATACATATTTATTTTATCTTAAATTTTAAAGATTTATTTATTTATTTGAGAGAAAGAGAGCACAAGTGGGAGAGGCAGAGGGAGAAGGAGAGAATCTCAAGCAGACTCCACACTAAGCGCAGAGCCCAGCACGGAGCTCAATCTCACAACCGTGAGATCACAGCCTGAGCCAAAACCAAGAGTCTGAGGCTTAACCAACTGCACCATCCAGGTGCCCTATACTTATTTGAAAAAGAAATTCTGTTCATTCACTCAACAGTTTTTTTTTTAATTGGTGCTTTTACTGAGCACCAATTAAGTCTCTAGCACTAATGCTCCACCAGAGTTCACCTTCCCCACAGAACTTACAGTCTACAGGTTGAAATGGGCAATGTGGATATTCTTTTCACCAGACTATAAAGAGTAAGAAACAGTATTGATCTGAAGCAATCATAGGAAAATAAAAAATTTAAATAGCATAATAAGGGGCGCCTGGGTGGCTCAGTCGGTTAAGAGTCCAACTCTTGGTTTCAGCTCAGGTCATGATCTCATGGGTTGAGGGATCAAGCCCCACGTTGGGCACCACATTCAGCAGGGAGTCTGCTTGAAGATTCTCTCCCTCTGCCCCTCCCCCCACTCACATGCCCCCACACACTCTCTCTCTCAAATAAATAGATATATAGCATAATAAATCCAAGGACTGAAAAAAAGACAAGAGCCCTCTTCTATTGTAAGAGTTGTATCAGTAATTTAGAATTAGAACAAAGAAAACATTGCCAAACCTCACATCCACTGTATTATTCGCCTCATGGTCAAACACTTCAAAAGCCTCCTTGATTTTTTTGTGATATTCTGCTACGGCTATCTCTGCAAAAGACAAAGTAAATAAAAAGTGTTTTACTTTACCTTTGAATTCAAAACAAAAATTTCAACCACTAAGCTAGAAATTCTCAATGAGGAAGAGCGTGCAGAACTCTTTCCTAATCTTAGCGTCATGTAGCATGTTCATCTTTGTCTAGAGATAGCAAGGAATGGACAGACTCTCGTTTCCTGAGGCATGAGACACACACAACACAGTACCAGAGGTGCACTACTCTTGAGTACACAGTGCCATGGGTTTCATGTGTTTGTAGTCATGAGGCCACCACGCAGATCAAGGTATAGAATGCTTCCAACACAGCCTATCTTTTGTCCCAAGCAGTCTGGGCAGAGTCCCAGCCCAAGAGGCAGAAGGAGTCCAGCTCTACAGATAGAGTGTGGCTCACTGGTATGCCTGCCTGTGCACTTGAGGAGGGCTAAAGTTGGGGAGTGGGAGGCATGCAAAAGCAACACAAGACACTCTCTCAAAGGGCTTTCAAACTAGTTTTGAGACTAAGACTTACAAGAAACGATTAAAAAGTCATTTATTCAATAAACATTTATTGAGTCTCTGCTAGGTGCTAGACACTATTCTAAGTGCTAACGTTATAACAAGGAACAAAACAGACAAAAATGCCTACCTCCACAGAGCTGTTTTTATTGAGGGAGATATATAAGCTTACACATATTTGGTAAAAATACACTGTTAAGTCAAATGGTGCTGGAAAAAATAAAGCAGGTAAGGGACACAGAGTGCTGGGGGGGCTGGGTCTTGAGAAAGGAGTGGGGTGGTGGTTTCAGAAGGCCTCCTTAGTGATAAGGTGTCTTCTGCACAGGGGGAAAAGCCAGCTTTATGAATATCTACAGGAGGAGTTTTTAGGCAAATAGAACCGCAGAGGCAGAATGGTAGAGATAAGGTCAGAAAGGTGTGATTTTAGGGGGGGAGGACAAGTTCTATATGGTCTCTGTATACTGCTTTAAAGGTTTTGTCTTTTACTTTAAATGAGATGGTGAACCACTGGAAGGTTCTAAACAGTGACATGACATGGCCTGGCTTATATTCACTACAGTTATAATGTTAAGAATATACCAGAAAGGGACAAGGGTGGAAGGAGAGACCAGTTAGGAGGTTATTGCAGTATTCTACAGAGAGTCTAATGGTGACAGGACAAGGATGGAAACAGTTGGAGATGGTGAGAAATGATAGGATTCTGGATATATTCTAAAGGGCAGAGTCGACAAGACTTGCTGATAGGTTTGATGTTAGATGCAGAGGAAAAGAAAGGGGTTGAGGCTGACTCCAAGGTGTTTGGCTGAGTGGAAGAATAAAGGGAAAAACAATGCAATCAAGTTTCAAAATTTATTTTTCAAATAGTAACATAGGACACCCAGAAAGGGAGAGATTGAGTTCATATACTCATTTAAATTATAAACATAATACCACCAAATTGCAGAAAATGGGAGAAAATTTATTCATATTCCCTATGAGTAACATTACCCTAACATAACCACTCATCACTTTGTTATATTTTCCTCCAGTCTTTCTTCATACACAACTTTTTATATGTATCATTTAAGAACTACCATTCATTCACTCAACAAAAACTTACTGAATGAAACACTATGTACCAGATTCTGTGCCAGGTGCTGTACCTACATTTATAACCAGAGGTAAGCATCGATCAAAGCTCAGAGAGGTCTGGGGTGCCTGGGTGGCTCAGTCAGTTGAGCATCAGACTCTTGATCTTGGCTTGGGTCATGATTTGGGGGTCGTGGGATTAAGCCCTGCCTCGAGCTCCTCGCGCTGGGCATGGAGCCTGCTTAGGATTCTTTCTTTCCCTCTCCCTCTGCCCCTCCCCTCACTTGGGCTCTCTCTCTCTAAAAAAAATAACACACACACAAAAAAACAAATAAAATAAAATAAAGCTCAGAGAGGTTAAGCAACTGGTGCAAGATCACAGAGTTGCCAAGTGGCAGAGCTGGACTGAACTGGATCTATCTCACTTGAGAGATCCTGCTCTCTCCCACACTCTACCCCCACTTCACTAACTGCTAGTACTCATTAGTTTAAAAACTGTAACTCCTAATCACTTCATTCAAATACTATACCTTTCCAGGCTCAACATAACCTATATAACCTTCCATTTTTAACAGTACCAAAGGAATGTACCACAATTTATTGATATTAGTTTTTCTTTATCATAAAAAACATGACAATGAACCATGTTTGCTAATTTAATAAGCAAAAAAATAACTGTTATCTCATTATTTAAATTTATACTTCCTTGATTACAAGTGACTGAATGATGATCCATATGCTTGTATGGGACTTCTGCTTTCTATGCTGTGAGCTATCTGTTCTTGTTCTCTGCTCACTCCTACTAGGATCTTCCATTTTTTCTTAGCAATTTGTATGTGCTCTTTAAATAATGAAGACTTAACCCCGTGTCATAATTACTGCAAACAATCTTTCAGGTCAGTTGTTTGCATTTGTTTTTCTAAAATAAAACCAGTTTCATATCCTAGCTGATCATCAATACCATACATGATTACTGGAGGAAAAAAAAAGGATGTGTAAGAAAGAGTTTAGATTAAGTAAAAATCACTTCAAATCCTACCATGCAGGGTGAGCTACTTTTATTGTTTTCTCCTAATCTAATTTTCACTCAACAATAAATTGGGAGCATCTTGTACTCTCAAAAGAATATTGATTACATTATCATTTTTAGTGACTGTTTGGTATTCCATTATAGAGCTTTATCATAATTTAGCCAACCCTCTAATTATAGACATTTCAATTGCCTCCAATTTTCCATTGTTATAATTATTCTTTAGTGAACAATCTTGCCCAATTCATCTTTGTGAGTTTGTCTTATTATCTCACTGAAATACAATGAGTTGAATACAGTTGGACTTGTGTGGGGTATTGGGAAGGTTCTAATTAGTCATCATATTGTCTTGGGAGGGGTGCCTGGGTGGCTCAGTCATTAAGCGTCTGCCTTTGGCTCAGGTCATGATCCCAGGGTCCTGGGATCGAGCCCCGCATCGGGCTCCCTGCTCCGCGGGAAGCCTGCTTCTCCCTCTCCCACACTCCCCCTGCTTGTGTTCCCTCTCTCACTGTGTGTCTCTGTCAAATAAATAAATAAAATCTTAAAAAAAAAAATATTGTCTTGGGAAAGTCTCACTGGTTATAACACTGCCAATGCACAAAGCTGATGTCTGCTTTTTAAATTTAAGGTCATTTCATTTATTTTTTTAAGTTTTTATTCAAATTCCAGTTAGTTAACATGCAGTGTAATATTAGTTTCAGGAATACAATATAGTGATTCAACACTTCCATACAACACCCAGTGCTTACCACAAGTGCTCTCCTTAATGCCCATCACTTATTTCACCCATCCTACTGCCCTGCGCCCCTCCCCCCACCCCGCACTCCCCTCTGGTAACCATCAGTTTGTTCTCTATAGTCTGTTTCTTGGTTTGTCTCTTTCTTTTTTTAATTTTCCCTTTGCTTGTTTGTTTCTTAAAGTCCGCATAAGGCTGAAATCATATGGTATTTGTCTTTCTCTGACTTATTTCACTTAGCATAACACCCTCTAGTTCTGTCATTGCAAATGTTAAGATTTCATTAAAAAAATTTTTTTTATTATTATGTTAATCATTTTTTGATGGCTGAGTAGTATTACATTGTATATATATACCACATCTTTTTTATCCATTCATCAGTCAATGGACACTTAGGTTGTTTCCAAGATTTGGCTCTTGTAAATTATGCTGCTATAAACATCGGGGTGCATGTATCCCTTTAAATTAGTATTTTTGTATTCTTTAGGTAAATACCTAGTAGTGCAACAGCTGGATTGTAGGGTAGTTCTATTTTTAACCTTTTCAGGAATCTCCATACTGTTTTCCAGAGTGGCTGTACCAGTTAGTATTCCCACCAACAGTGCAAAAGGGTTTCCCTTTCTCCACATCCTTGCAAACACCTTGTTTGTTGTGTTGTTTCTTGTGTTGTTGAGTTTAGCCATTTTGACAGATGTGAGGTGGTAACTCATTGTGGTTTTGATTTGTATTTCTCTGATCAGTGATGTTGAGCATCTTTTCATGTGTCTGTTGGCCATTTGCATGTCTTCTTTGGAAAAATGCCTATTCATGTCTTCTGCCCATTTTTAAATTGGATTATGTCTTCTGAGTGTTGACTTTTATAAGTTCTTCATATATTTTGGATACTAACCTTTTATCAGATATGTCATTTGCAAATATCTTCTCCCACTCCAAAGGTTGCCTTTTAGTTTTGTTGATTGTTTCCCTCGATGTGCAGAAGCTTTTTATTTTGACGAAGTCCCAATAGTTTATTTTTACTTTTGTTTTCCTTGCCTCTGGAGACATATCTAGAACGAAGTTGCTACAGCCAATGTCAAAGAGGTAACTTACCTGTGTTTTCCTCTAGGATCTTTATGGTTTCAGGTCTCACATTTAGGTCTTTCATACATTTCAAATTTCTTTTTTTTCTGGTGTAAGAAAGTGGTCCAGTTTCATTCCTCTACATGTTGCTGTCCAGTTTTCCCAACACCATTTGTCTTTTTCCCATTGGATATTCTTTCCTTCTTTACCAAAGATTAATTGACCGTATAATTATGGGTTCATTTCTGGGTTTTCTATTCTGTTCCATTGATCTATGTGTCTGTTTTTGTGCCAGTACCATACTGTTTTGATCACTACAGCTTTGTAATATAACTTGAAGTCCAGAATTGTGATGCCTCCAGCTTTGCTTTTCCTTTTCAAGATTGCTTTGGCTATTCAGGGTCTTTTGTGGTTCCATACAAATTTTAGGTTTGTTCTAGCTCTGTGAAAAAAAATACTGCTGCTATTTTTATAGGGATTGCATTAAATGTGTAGATTGCTTTGAGTAGTGTAGACATTTTCACAATATTTGTTCTTCCAATCCATGAGTATAGAATGTCTTTCCATTCTTTGTGTCCTCTTCAATTTGTTTCATCAGTGTTTTA